AGTGAATGCATTCAAACAATCCGTCCAAAACAGCGCTAATATAAAGGAAATCAGGCTGATTACATCAGAGATTGCAGACAGAACAGAGACTCGCGTTGCATTTTAAGTGAATTATTCATTCTTATTGGGCTCCTTATATCATTTGGTTCTTTGGTGTCCTTTTGGAGTTTCTAAGTGTCCTTTTTTGGGAAGAAATCTAAATTTATCTGGCAGAAAATATAGATTTTTGAGAATCACCCTTCAATCTTTTGGTTTACTTTGCTGGATATAGCAAATGATGACAAAATAAACATTTGAAACAAGATAAATGGTCTATGCTTAATTTCATGAAGTGTGCGAATATATATATATTATAGATAGATAGAAATAGGTTTAATTATTTTATTTCAGTATTATTTCAGTTAGCAATGTTTCTAAAAAAATTTTTTTAGTTTTTCCATCTAATATTCATATTTTATTTAATTTGAGTATTTATTTAAAAACAATTTTAAATATTTTTATCTTTAGGTAACAATAAAAACACTGCTTGGCATATGTGTTTTAGACTAGATTGTTTTAAATGTTTTCCTTTTCTTGATCATGGACGCTTTGTCACTGACCCTGTTATATATTGACGTTATTTTATATAATTATTTTAATCTTAAAATCTTAATGACAAAATTCTTTTTCATTTGTTAATATAAAATAGCCATTATATTTCAGCATAAGTAAAAGGTTTATCCTGATCCCACATGCTCTCAAAATTAGAGCGGTGTTTGTTCTTGTAATTGATCTGCTGCATACTTAATTCACTAAATATATGCATGAGGTGCACAATAGCCACTATTCTCTGTGACGGCTCGACACCGTAACCCTAATCTTACCCAACAAATGAGTCCAGATATTCCCGGTCTCTGTGTGGATCCTGAAAATGCTCCCAAAGCAGGCACGGAACGAGGGCATTGGAGGCCGATGACCGTGCAGGAGGTAGTCGTTGTCTTTTAGCCACTCCGGCAGGATGTGAAAGGGAATGACCCTCCAGCGGCCCTCCCAGACCTGCAGAACAGCGATCCAGCATGAATTTCATTTAATTTCTGTTCAAGCTTTAAAACGGTTATGCATGACGACCACACCTTATGCACGAACTCCTCCATCTTCTCCATTGCATGGTGAGCCTGCAGTGGTAGCGTCAGAACTTCTCCAACTTCTTCATCCTCCTCTTCATCATCAGCGAGACAGTTTGCTCCCTGTGGGCACAATCAGAGCTCAAAAGGAGCCTGCAACACTGCTGGCACTGAATATGAAAGACTCTGTAATGCATTCTGATTAATAATTACGTGGCTTGCCTCTGACTGGACTCCTTTGGCTCCTATGGGGCCGTTTTCCTCCAGCAGGGGACCCAGCTCCATCAGCTCCACGTCGGCTGGAACGTGGCATTCCTCCGTGACCTGGCAGTCTGCTTGACTTGCAGACCTGATTTGGCCTGACATTAGTAGACTGCCCTGTGACCTGTCTCAGACCTCTGAAGCCTCCACTTCAGTTCACTGAGGGCCAAAAGTCATACATTCAATCAAAACAAAACTTCACAGCCAAAGTCAAGTCATGACAACATCAGTGACCCGTAACAACAACAACAGAGACTGCTTACCTCTGGCAGGAGCTTTGAACACTGGCAGGTCTAAACCTGCCTCCTGATGTTTTCCTCACTATGAAATTGCATTCAGTCTTGGGTAAAAAAACAAAAAACAAAAACAACAACTAGGCATCATCTCTGCTCACATTGCTACAAAGTAGTTCATACTGGCTGCGTTTTAAAACCAAAAGAGCTGTTTACCATGACAGCTTATTTGGACATCATAGGCACATTATAATTTGTGGTTTTTCAAATCATTCTCGTTCGCTACCATGTACTGACTCAATTTCATCGTTCGCTGAAATGTTTATAGAGTATAAGCGTTAAGTTTCCGTAGTAAAAAAATCTCATTCATTTTCTCCATAGAGGAACTGAGTTTTAAACAATAACTTATAAACCTTTAAAAGCAAGCCTACTGTGAGCTACAAGGTTGTTCATTGAAAGGATATGCTTTTGTTGAAGTCATCAGCCCACATTATTTAAAATTATTTTTTAAATAATCATGTTTAACAGAGGAATTCCTGGTAAAAAAAACAACTATTAAAACCACTCTATTAAAACGAAACTCTGATTTTGTTCGAGAAGAAGAGTCGTGAATGTGCGAAAATGAATGCCAGATGACCATGTATTCGTAAATTAGGTAAGAACGTTCTGGGTACTCTTAATTGTTTATTTTATAATGGTTGTCTTTTTTCGACAGCTTGATAAAAATAATTTCTAACAGTTGACAAAAACGGAACAACCATAGACAAACAAATGTATGTATACAGCATAATAAGACGAATCGGTTGAGTGATTAACTCACAGCTGTCAGCTAACAGTTAATCTTATTTTGTGAATGGAGTTAAAAGATTCGAGTCACTGGGGTGAATCAAAATCCTCACCACTAATTCGAATCGAACTTTCGAACGCACATATGGTTCCAAATACACCGTCTCGGTAGGCAGCTCAGCAGATTTCGAAATATAACCGATATAACTAGCATTGATCTCTGTATGAAGTGGTATCATACAGCTCATACCTATGACTAACGGTAATTAGCCTGCTGGCTAACAAAGGGCTTTACATTTTAGGAGAGGAGCAGCCAAAACAACGGTACACGTCATGATCAACACTTACATGATACATAACATAGCAACGATGATATAACAACTATATGATTCACAAAATAGTCTCCAACAACGATTAATTAATTAGTACGACATAAAGCCCTTTAAAAATCCAAAAGGGTTGTAATTAGAGCAGGTTAGCATTGAGACACAGAAACCGCTGCGCACCGCTAAACTAACGTCAAGTTACTGTGTCTGGATGCGTTTACAACAACATTATGAATCACAATTTTGCCGTTACGTTTAAATAATGATGCATTTGATCGTGCAGGCGGTTACCTGATGTCCGGATCTGCCGTTAAAGAAATAGGATCTCTTCCGGATGTCCACCAAAGAGCAGCAGGATGGAGAAATAAAGAGTTGCAAGCTGCTGTATGTCAGACGGCGAGTTCAAACTGGCTCGCTCGCTGTTGTCTTTGAATTAACGCCGCGGTAGCGCCGCCTGCTGGAGAAAGGCGGCGCTAGATTTTGTAAAGCCCCCACAGCGCGCTTTAGGGGCACTAACCTGTTTTTATACAGTCTATGGCACTAACCCATTTATTGGATGATTGTTGTGAAGGTTTCCAGATTTAGAGCAGCAATCTCCAGCAGGTGATTTATTTTATTGTAAAAGACCAGACAGTGGCGGTTGAACATCCATCTGAGGGCTGCTCAGAAAATACTGAAGTGCTTTACCATATCGCAGCTGTTTGTGTAACGGTCACATTTATCTAGGACGTGCTGGCAAGCTTTAGGAAGATAAAAATCCTACCATTAATCTTTCAAGAGTATTTTGTGTTAAACCAGCTGGCCTTACAATCTCCTATAATCCCCAATCCTCATCCTAGTCAGATTTTATAATCTCAGTGAATGCAAAAGAGCATCATATTATGGCCATCATGAATTGCTTGGAGAAAAGGAATCAAAAACCAGAAGATGCCAGTGAAAACAATTTAATAAGCACTTTGTTGCCTCTCTTTTAGTGCATTTCATAAAAAACAACTGCATAACTTTTTAAATTAAATTTTGTTAACATAACAGATAAACATGTGGAGTGCAGCATGCATACAAAAATACTCCAGTGAAAGCAAATGCATCTCATAACATACATCAAACATGAATGCCAGTCACCTCTCACAGGCACATTAATTATAATATTCAGCATTAAATTCAGCAAGCAGGTGTTGTAACACGCTGGCGCCTTTTTAAGTGCATTAAATTGGGAATTTTTTTTGTAGTATCAGCATCTTATTGTGAGCTTTTAGGCACATCAAGCTACAATTGTCATTGATACAGTAGACAGTCTCTGTATCGTATTATAGAAGTATAGGCATTTAAAATGAAGAATAAATTACCTCTGGACAGACTAGCACTTAAGCATTTAATATTTAATATATACTGTCCACAAAAAGGATATTTGCTATACGTGATCAGATTTGTAATGCCATATTTGCTTAAATACGATTGTGTGCAACTTAGTATCTTTGGAGTAATTTGTGTCTGGGCCCTGAGCATTGAGAACGGTCTAATATACGAAGCGTTGGCTCTGCCGGTAGCCCAGTTTGTCCAGGTTGGGATTACAAGCAAACTGGATCATGGGAGGTGGACCGCACATAAGAATCATAGAGTCATCACTGGGTGGAGGCAGGTGCTCCTGAATCATCTCAGCATTGATGAAGCCCTGACTGTACTCCCAATCTGCAAACAAGTCAATGCATGTAAATGTCAAAGAAAACCATATGATAAAAATAAAAAAAATCTGCTCTAAAACACATCCCAAGTTCTTAGAAATGTACTCTTTGTTTTTATGTTGGTTTCCCTTTTTGACAATTTAAATACTTTAAATTTAAATTCTTAGTTTAGATTTAAAAATGTCATTTGTCCATCAAGCACAGTTTGCCTTAAACACTGAATGCATGTGCACATTAGTTTTAATTTTTTTAATATATTAATGTAAAATGTATTTTTTTTTCACAAATATGATAAACTATTAATTCATAAATATCATTAGTTTTTTGTCCACGTCGCCACATGACATTGTAAAAGCTAAACTAACCTTGTCCTGTCATATAAAAGGTCAAAGTAGCTGACATTTTATTTAATCAGGACAGTTGTTACAATTTTTGACTTCATGAACCAAAATTTAACACATGCTCATCATAGGAGGTCAAGTAATATGTATAAATTACAATTTTAAATGTATTTTAAAATTTTATATAAAAAATGTCATTGACCAACATACACTACCATTTAAAATTTTGGGGTCATTAAGACATTTTTTACTTACATTTTGAATACTTTTATTCATAAAGGATGCATTAAATTGATCAAAAATGACAGTAAAGACATTTTTCATTAATTATATAATTCATCAATTAAATGGGTTTTTTCTATTCTCTGCTTTCTATTCATCAAAAAATCCTGAAAAAATTGATCAGAGTTTCCACAAAAATATTAAGTAGCACAACTGTTTTCAACATTGGTAATGTTTCTTAAGCAGCAAATCATTATATTAGAATAATTTCTGAAGGATCATGTGTTACTGAAGACTGAATTAATGGCTGCTGAAAATCTCAGGAATAAATTATAAATTATATTTTAAGGTATATTAAAATAGAAAACATTTATTTTAGATTGTAATAATGTTTCACAATATTACAGTTTTTACTGTATTTATGATCAAATATACCAATGTATACCAAGCTTAATCATCTTGTAGGTTAGGAAGGGAGTCATATACCTGCAGGAGCTCTGTCCACTGTGAACCAGAGTTTGAAGCGATCTGGATGCCTCGCCTGAATCTCCTCCAGTTCATCCTTCAGCAGAATGTCCTTCTCAGTCTGGAAGACAGACGAAAGGTAAACCGGTTCATTTTATACTTGCTAAGCAGTTGAATCTGTCTGAACATCATTTTGTTTATGAGCAAACTAAAAAAAAAAAAAGGGACGGTACAAAAAATTCTTTCATTAATATATCTGAAACAACCCCTTTTCTACTAGAACACCAACCTGGTTGGCAAACAGCAGGCTGCATGTCGTCGTGTCACTTGAGTTTTTGATGACGTCACGAATCAGCTGCAACACTGGCGTAATGCCTACAAAGGGAGGAGGACAAATGATTTTAGTGATCATACGGCTTCATTATGACTAGGAACGAGGAGAAAGACGCTCTACCTGTTCCTCCAGCTATAAGACCCAACGTTCTTGCAGTCTTAGTCTCAGCAGGGGCCTTCTTATCGGCCTGTATAGCGAAGCGACCTGTTGGGAGGAGATGTAGGTGTAAGGTGTGACCACTGTGTAAATACATCCACCTAAATTCAGCTCAAATATTGATAGTAAATGTGCTGAGTCAGACCTTGCCCCTTGTACTCCAGCAAACCTCCTGGTCCTCTGAAGTCAATCACATCTCCGATCCTCAAACTCTCCAAGTACTGGGACATCTTTCCCCCTTCTGGGAACTTTGGGTGCACATTCTTAAAATAAATCTGCAGAAAGAAACATGTCAGCTCTAATGCTACCATTTGAAACCCCAGGAGCTTTTACAAGAAATGTAGAGAATCTGAACCTTCACAACGAGGTCAACGAATCCTTTGTCATCGTCGCTGGACACTGGTGTGTAAGGACGCACAATCAAATTACCATCAATCCTGGCAGAGAGATAAACATGCTTGCCTTGAGAAAGAAAGACAGGGAGAAAGAGCACTTTACTAATAATATAACTGATACACAGCCCAGTCTGTACATCAAGAACTTGTTTACACCAGGTATGATCATCCGTATGGCGACACACTACTGTTTACATCTGGTAACTTGCGGCTCAAACGGGTCTGATTTTCTGATTACATACATCACTTGCTCTGTCAATATGTTAAAATGCAAGAAGGTAAAATAATAATAATTATTATTGCAATTATAATTGATAAAATGAATAAATTACAAATTTTTTATAATTACAATTATTATGATGCTCACCGAGGCTATATTTATGTGATCAAAAATACAGTAAAAACAGTATTACAATATTTGCTTTTATTTTATATATACTTTAACTGTAGTTTATTTCTGTGAAGGCAAAAGGGAATTTTCAGCGTCACATGATTTTTCAGAAATTATTCTAATATGCCGATTTGCTGCTCAAGAAGCATTTCATATTATTAACAGTTCAACTGCTTAATATTTTTGTGGAAACCGAGATAGTTTTTCAGCATTTCTTTGAAATAGAAATATTTTATAATACTATAAATGTTGTTTCTTGATAAATTTAAACATTTTATTTAATAAAAAAAAACAAAAAAAAACTTACTGACCCATAACTTTTAAATAGTGCCAATACAGATTTGTATATACTCAACAAATATTTATTTATTTTTATTATACTTATTTTGCCTTGATATCAGGTAATATGAGGAAAAGCATAAAACCACTATAATTAAAGGGATAGTTCATACTTCATTCATCGTCGTAACACAAATGAAGGTATTTTTTATGAAATCCGAGAGCTTACTGACCCTGCATAGACAGCAAAGCAACTGAAACTACGAGAAACAAACATTTTCTTTGCGCACAAAAAGTATTCTCGTAGCTTCCTAAAATTAAGGTTGAACCTCTGATGTCACATGGACTATTTTAATGATGTCCTTGCTGTCTATGCAGGGTCAGAAAGCACTCGGATTTCATCAAAAATATCTTAATTTGTGTTAAAAAGATTAGCGAAAGTCTTACGGGTTTGTAACATCATGAGGGCGAGTAATTAATGACCGAATTTTCATTTTTGGGTGAACTCTCTCTTTAAACCCTTGTTTTAGTTTAAAGGTTTATTGACAAGCAGCTTATCTTACGGTTGAAAAACTGATTTCACATGGTCTATATGCAGGGTCAGAAAGCACTCGGATTTCATCAAAAATATCTTAATTTGTGTTAAAAAGATTAGCGAAAGTCTTACGGGTTTGTAACATCATGAGGGCGAGTAATTAATGACCGAATTTTCATTTTTGGGTGAACTCTCTCTTTAAACCCTTGTTTTAGTTTAAAGGTTTATTGACAAGCAGGCAATCCTTCACGGCTGTCTGATACACATCAGGACATATCGGCATTTTCACTACAAATCTGATGTTGTCCACTAAACAGTGTCCAAATGTCTGTGATTAGTCTCAAGCAAATGTGCATGTTTAAACTACTTTAAGCTGCTTTTCAACCCCTAAGCTCATTTATCATTTAGCACACAGTTCTTATCCAAAGCAGTCAACACAACCTTTGTATTAGCACCAGAGAAACCGTCGACCCACCACCCAGTCCTCAAAGACTACTTACCAACAGGTAAACCCAAAACATGCTCTGGGCTGGGCAGGGCGAACCGAAACCTGCGGGTATCGTGGCTTATGATCTGCAGGAAAGAAAAATGTCTTATTTTGTCAGCATCTTGTCAGTATCACAAATATAAATTCTAGCACATGGAAATAAATAGACAGGGCAAATACCTCTTTGTCTACTAGTCTCAGTTTGTATTTTTCAGAGGGATCAATCAGGGTAATCTGTGGTTTCCTTTTCCTGTTAAAGTAATAATAACCCAGCAGACCTGCTGTTGAGACCAGCAGCACTCCAACACCGACTGCAACTGTAGTGGACTAAAAATACAGATTAGTGCACATAAACACGGGTTAAGAGCCACTTTTAAAACATGTAACTGAAAATCATCAATTATAAATAAATGCCAAACATGAATTCAATTAACGTTATTTGCAATATACAAGAGAAATGTGACAAAGATTCTCCGCTCAAATGCCTGAACGAATCATCTGTATTTCCCAGAATAAACTCTGACGTTTCTGCTTTAGTATCCCATTTCAAGAACTGTCTGCTGATCTAGTTTTCTACAAGACACAACTGTAATTTTAATACAAACGACTTTCTTAGCTTGTCTTTGAGTTAATGGCATGATTAGTCAATAGTGTGTGCTGATAAACTGATAAGCTATGCTATGTTAAACAAACTTGGTGGAATGCCAAAGCAGTATGTCCTCTAAATAACAGTTAATTGCTTCAATTAAAGTTTAGAGTACTTCTTTAAAGCGTTATGACTTACCATCGCGTAACTCATGACGGCTGATGTGCGTCTACAAGGAGGTTCAGTCAGAACGAATCTTCAGACTAAACATTCGTCGGCACACCCATGAACATGCAGACTGAGGACTCTGTGTTGGAGGCGAATAACGCTGCGCAGTTATTGCGCATAACAGAACGATTCCGTTTTGCGTAATCTCATCCACATTGCAACGCTATCTAATGTCTGTGGCCGGCGTGTGGCTGTCTCAGTGAAACCCGGAAACCCACAAAACTAGATAAAAATAAAAGTCCTTGAATTTCCATTTGTCCAGAAATTCAGTCATTTAATATATAAATTAAAAGCAAACAAACAAAATTCAATGATTTCTAACACTTAATTAATTTAAAATTAACTGTTTAAAATGAAAGTGCAAATAATAAATGTCCTCTGATTTCTTTTTGTTTACAAATGTAATATATTTATTTATATATAAAAAATGCAATACATTTTAAAATGTAAAAATGTGGAAGTAATTAAATGCCTGGAAAATATTTGATTTATTAAAAACACAAATATAATTCACAAATTCAAAAAACCATAATTAAATTTCCTGAATAATTAATACATATTGTTAAGTCAGTACTCAAAGCCCCATAATTTTAAGATACCCGGGTGCTTTTAAAAGCAGATCATTGCATACATTGGTTTCCCTTATATTTTCCTATTTCATTTATGCTCAAGCTATTATCTTTTTGACGTAATTGCGGACGTTGAAGTGAAGCTGTTTCGAGGTGGCTGAGAAAACTTCCATTGCCAGAGTCTTTGTCTCTTCTGATCCATTCCAAAGTGCCCGATAAACCGGTAATGTGTACCTCTGTTTCCCCTGAAAGCAAAACATCAAAATCAGTCTGACCGATCTCTATTCAGTCTGAAGCGATCTAATTATTAGTCCAAAGAGCTGAACGAATTAGAAATAAATAAATGTTAATATTAACAAATTAGAAATAAATATGTACAGATTCTGACCTGGCTTGTGAGGAAATTGCGAATATGTTGGAATCCTGGTTTATGCTGGTTCTTTGCAACAATCTGGGCCCATCGCAATTTTAGCTCGGCATTGTTGGACTCAATAATGTACGAGTAGCACTCCTCCAGCTTCTTTATGTGACCTGTTAATATGGGGATATTTATTTTACTATCTACTTAAACCATAACAATAAACCATGAACACAAGGAGTTATTTGCACCATCTGGAAGTGGTGACTTCTCAAGAATCTTGTCCAAGAAGTAGACAGTTTGGTAGGTCTTCCACGGTTTTATATCAGTTTTGCAGATAGATTCCAAGTCTGGGTTATGATTGACCCACATTTCAGCTAACAGCTCTGCTGGTTTCATCAGCTCCTGGCCAGCAGAGAGGTCGGGAACATATGGAGGCCAACCAGGGACATTGAGCCAGCTGTCAAAATCCAGACCTAACAAAGCAACCGAGAAGAAACAAAGCTGATGGCAAAAGGCAGTCTGACCAAACAGTATTAATTTAGTCTAGCTTTTGTGATTTTACAACAAAGAAATGCTACTAATGGTCTTTTTCCGCACCCTCAATTTTGTGGACATTCTTTTCTTTCAGGTCTGGGAAATACTCCAGGTAAAACTCCAACGCATCTTCTGCCAACACACTTCTGAACTTGAACTTGTCCACATAAGCCTTGAAGAGATACAAATGAATTGCTGTTTTATCATACTTGTTTACATACTTTCATTCATTCTGAGATTCAAATGTTTTGGGTCAGTAAGATTTTTTTTGTTTTTAATAAATTAATTTTTATTTAGCAAAGATGCATTAAATAATAAAAAAAAAAAAACTTTAAAGTGTTACAAAAAACTATTTAAAATAAATGTATCAGTTTCCACAAAAATATTAAGCAGCACAATTGTTTTTTAATACTAAGAGATGTGAAACTGAAGCAAGGCTATTATCGTTAACTAAAATATATCTGGTAATTGAAATAAAGCTGCAATAAAATAAAGTTGAAGCACTAAAATTACTAACTGGAAATAAATAAAAACTAAAACCTAACCAAAAAAAAAAAGAAACCTAAATAGTAATATTTAAAAGAACAATAAAAAAAATGACAAGCACCAAACAAAACTACTGAATATTGAACAAAAATTCAAATGAAGCTAATTCAAAATATTAATAAAAACTATAACGGTATAATTCTAAAATAACACTGCACAGAGGATTGAAGTAATGGCTTCTGAAAATTCAGTTTTGCCATTAGAGGAATACATCTAATTTAAAAAAATATTTTTTAATGTATTTTCAATTGTAATACTATTTCACAATATTTCTGTTTTTATTGTATTTTGATCAAATAAATGCTGCCTTAGTGAGCATAAGAGTCTTAACATATATTAATATATATGTTTTTAAATATTACTATTATATATATGCATATATAATATATTTATATTATTGAATATAATAATTAGTATTAATTAAGAACAGTCTCTGTAAACTTATTGTTCAAGTAACCTTGAGGAATGCGTCAAAGCGTGACTGATCTCCTGCGAGGTGGGCTAGGTAGGAAACAAAGCAGAAACCTTTCTCATAGGGCGTGTCATTGTAGGTATCATCAGGATCAACACCTGCAAAGAAAAGACATAGAGGCGGTTACAACCAATTCTGCAATCAAAATAACCAAGTTATGTAAGACTGCCATCTTTTTTTCTGCCTACAATGTCTAATTAAAAATGGTGGCCTACCTGGTTCGATCTTAACCCGTAGTTTATTGAGAGGATGGTCCTCTCCAGTGTTGTCCATGTGCTGACGGAGAAGAGCTTTACCGGTCGCTGCCTCCAGACACGTATAAGCCTCTCCTGAGAATCAAATGGCGCTTTTAATTGAATACTTTATTAGTGAAATACAGGGTCAAATAATGTATAGCATACCATACAGCTCCCTGCAAACCCTGCGCTGAGCATACATGGTGAAGCCCTCGTTCAGCCAGAAATCACCCCAGGTGGCGTTGGTGACGAGGTTTCCAAACCAGCTGTGGCAGATCTCGTGTACAATGACGTCAGCGAGAGAACGATCTCCGGCCAGCAGACAGGGTGTGACAAAGGTCAGGCAGGGGTTCTCCATCCCACCGAAAGGGAAGGATGGAGGCATGAACAGCACGTCATATCTAAACGATCACAACAAATCAAAACACATGTCTATTGGAATATAATCACTACTGAATAAAAGTGCTTATCGGGTTATATAAACTCAGATCTATCGGAATTATGAAGCTGTTCAAAAAAGCATATCCCACCTTCCCCAAACGTAGGGTCCAAACAGTTTCTCTCCCACAGACAGGAACTCTTCAATCACATTATCATACTCCTGCTTGGCAGCCTGCAGTAAACAAGGCTCGGTCCAGACACGTGTCCTGAAAATGCAGTTGAAAGTCATTATTATAATAATAATAAATATTATTTAAATGCTTCATTTATAATATAGTCCATGTATAATGTTAGTAAAATATCTTTCACCAAAAACACATATTTCAGAAGAGCATTAAAGACTTTATACCTTGTGATATGATTTCTTTATGATAAAAGATTTGGGATTTTTTACCTGGGTCCAACCTCAGCAGATCGCAGGTCCCCTACTGCCAGAGCTACCAGGTAAGCAGGAATGGGATGCTCCATGGTGAACAGGAAAGCGCTGTCTGCTTCCCTCTCTTCCCATTTACTAGCGCTCATAACTGCTGTGAAGCCATCAGGAACCTGATAATAGCAGCGAGGAGCATCAAAGAAAGAAGCTACTGTGTTTATGAGACAGTTCAAAGTGCAATGATAAGAAATAAACTCTGAGCCTTATCAAGTAGGCTAGAGAAAAACTGGATCTGATCTAATACTTGTGCTCTTTCTTCTTGAGAAACTAATGTGAGCCTATTGCAGACAAAATAAATCAAAATGAACTGGCCAATAATACATTTTAGACCAACAGCATTTTATAGATTTATTTGTACATTGCAATTATTATATATGTGACCCTGGACCACAAAACCTGGAACACAAAACCAGTCATAAGGGTCAATTTCTCATTACATTCTCAATTGAGATTTATACATCAGTAGAAAATTTACAAAATATCTTCATGGAACATCTTTACTTAATATCCTAATGATTTTTGGCATAAAAGAAAAATCGATCACTTTGACCCATGCAATGTATTTTTGGCTATTGCTACAAATATATCCAAGCGACTTAAGACTGGTTTTGTGGTCCAGGGTCACATATATGGTTCAACAATATGGGGTCTGTAAGAATTTTTTATTTTTGAAAGAAGTCTCATGTTCTCCAAGGTTGGATGTACTTTATCAGTCAAATACATTTGAGCATATTCAGTATATTTTGCAACAGCACATTGTGAAATACTATTACAATTTAAAATAACTTTTCCATTTTTTGTTTTCTACCGTTTAACTGTTTTCCATTTTAATATATTTTACAAATTTAATATATTTATTATAAATTTAATTTATTCCTGTGTTGGCAAAGCTGAATTTTCAGCTGTAATTACTCCAGTCTTCAGTGTCACATGATCCTTCAGAAATCATCCTAATATGACCTGCTGATCAAGAAACATTTCTTATTATTATCAATGTTCAAAACAGTTCATTTTTTAAATATTATTTACATTACAAAATTTATTTGAAATAGAAATCTTTTGTAACATTGCCACTTTTGATCAACTGAATGTGTCCATGCTGAATAAAAGTATTATTTTCTTATAACCCCAAAATATGATTTATGACAATTATTTTGTCATTATGAAAAGAAAAAAAAAAAACAGAACAATTACCAGTATATCACTAAGAACTTTTATTTTTCTACCCCAAAACACCTGTTATATACAGAACATTTTTTGCAATCGAATTGACTCCTGATTAATAAAATCCAATCAGATTATGTAAACTATTATGTCTATACACCCATATCCTCTTTATATCTGTAAATTCGACCGGCCCAATGGCCTCACCTGAACTGTTGCCGAGTAGGTGCTCTTTACTCCTGGAGTATCAAAGCAAGGGAAGAAGGAGCGGTTGAGAACAGCCTGGCCTTGAGTAAAAACATAAGGCTTGAGCTTTCCCGCAGTCTGCTCTGGTTCCAGCCAACACACCTGTAAGAAGATACATGCGTTTGGTGAGACATTACCTGCACAACAGCCGAGTAAGTGCTCTTTGTCATGGGCGTATGGAAGCCGGGAAACAGGCTGCGGTTCAGGACAGGGAACCCAGATGTGTACAAGAATGGCAGCTTCTTCTCAGCCGTCTGCACTGGGTCCAGCCATGACATCTACAGAGAAGTGATGCATGCTTGCTTGTACAATAAATTAACCATTTGAGCATTATTAGTGCTTATTTGAAGAAGTAAATAAAGGCTGCCAAAACAGGTTCAGAAAGAGAAACCAAAGATTCTTCCTTGAGAGTCTCATGACATGTGAACAGGTTTCAGTTTTGATCATAGTGAAATGCTCAAGCTGTCATGAGCTGTCAATATGGAAATTAATAAACAAAAAATATTAAAAGCAGTTTGCATGCTTACCCCTGGTCCACCAGTAGCTGTATATTTGATTGCAAGTTGAAGTTTGTCATCTGAGTTGAAAGGTTTTGGAAACTTCACGACCAGAGTTGTCCCATAATTGGTGAAGTCTCGAATCAGAAATTCTGTTGTGGTCCAGTCACGTGCATTATGACTGAACGTGATCTCATGTACAGACAGTGTTGGATGAATATCCAGCTGTAACTCACTTTGACCATCCTGAATGCACTGCAGCTGTATTGTTTCGGTACCTGATATGGTTTTCTGCTCAAAGTCCACTTTAAGATCGAGATGAAAATGATCTATTTTAAACTGGCGGAAACTAGAGGAGGTAGCGACGTCTTCGGCTTTGTCCGAATACAACGTAAATGTTTTATCCATTGTACTGCTGACTAAAACCTGCAACAATAGAACTGACGGGTCTACACCGGCTAATGGCAGCCAATCTGTTCATTCACTGACGAATGATGAGCCACTGTAAAACAGACCACGCGCTGGAAGACTAATCGTTATAGCATATCGATGGGATTTATGCCGGAGTTCTCTGCGTTATTGCAGCGCAGTGTTGTTTGTCGTCAATACAAGACAGGTGACTAAAAATATAAATCGCAAAAAAAAGTGAAATGCTACTAGTTATTCATACAAGACATATGACACACTTTGTCAAGGAGGCCCGAGAGGGGCAAGACAGTCAAATTCTCTTTTAAGGCCACATTCAAATCTCAGGACGTTTTTGTCTTATTGTAAACATTTTTATATTACAATGTACAGTATTTTAAATATATTAATTAAAATGATTAGTATCTTACATTCGAATGATACCCCTCCGCACCATTTTTTAAAAATAAAATGTTAAAGAAACGTTAAATTCATACGTAAACGGTGATAATGCAATAATCGCCGAGATAGGCTCATCCTGATCAGCGGTGAGAAAAGTAACAGTTGCCACGTGATGACCCCGTTTAGGCACTACTTGCGTTGCTACCTGAATTCATTTTTTTCTCTATCTAAATGGATATTGCCAACATTTCTTTCATTTATATAGGCGAATCTATGTAATATAATAGTTAACCCTTTAATTTCACTTTTTGCAGTGTTATGTTTTCACTCCAATTCACGATTTTCAAGAATTTCACCAAAATCATTGGTTTACTAAATTCCCAAGATTTCAAAGATGATGTTTTATTACTCTAATCAGCATTTATCATCTGGAAATTTATATTTGTTTTTAGAGCAACCATTTACAAAAATCAATGTAGGCTATATACAAAAGTCAGTTTAATAACTCAAGGTTAGAATGAACATTGATTACAAACAAACAGAATCTTTATTTATATCACTTTATCCATCTTAGTATCAACACACACTAACCAAACAACATAAAAAAACACTTAGTAACACATTAGATTTATTTCATCATACAAAATGTCAATAAGTAAGTTCATCTATTAAAAAAAATCTATAAAACATTGTCTTTCACAGTATAAAACTCATATATTTTTGGGACAAGGCATTTCATCTAAAGTGATGACTCTCTTGACATATCCCTATATATTTTTCTCGATGTTAAAAAAGTCTATACTTTAATCCATCAACTCAATAAATTATTGAATAAATAGGACTGTTGTCATAAGGGGTCCATGGTTTCACACCTGGCTGGCAACCTCAGAGTCATCCTCATACAACCTGTCTGGAGTCCTAAGAACGACCCGTTTCTGGGATACCTGGAGGAGAAAAGCAAAAAGAAAAGAGGTCAGTCCATAGGGAAATCTGTTTGCATTGCTTTAACATTCTAGTAACTCTTGATGAAACTCCGGAGTGACTGCACAATCAGCAGCTCTGTGGTGTTGTCTGAAGGTGTGTCATAAATCTGGGTTACACAACAGCTGCGTCTTAAATCATGGATCTCACAGTGTATTCTAACAACCAGAAATGCAAGCAATTATGGAATGCTTTAGAGTGTATATGCAGAATTTTGTCCCATTTTATCCAAATATTTTGTTAACTACAGAGTCATTGCAAAAGGACAGGAAAGACCAAAGTGTCTTTCATTACGCTAAAAGTTTCTCAGATAATAATATTTGAGTAGTAGTCTTCAAGACAGCTGCCTCTGCACATGACTCTAAATTATTGCATGACATGATATACCGAATATAGCGAAGCAAATGTGTGTCTCAGGCAGTGCTGATGTTCCCACATATGATCTAAATATCTTCAAAGGGACGGCCCAAGACCAAAATGACTCAATTAACCACCCAAATCATGCATCTGATAGTTTGTGGTGTTGAATTCCTGTAGTTTCTGCAAAGTTTCAAAATGAGTGACAACTCAAGTTCCTCATTTTACTTGTATCCTGAAGGCATTCGTACTCCATCTTAAATTTATTCAGCAGGGAATTTTCAATCATTTGTTATGAGACTTGTCGGTACATGTGCACTGCATTCTCTAGTTGTCTGAGTGCACATTTTTGACTGTAGTGTAAATTACCCGACTCCCACCCAAATAACACTGGCACCCACATTCTTGTTTGAGAAACAGTTTGTGTTTGGGATTGATTTAAATCAGTAGTTCTCAAATGATGTGTCGCAACTCAAAAAAATTTACTGATAGGGTCAGAGACATCAGTTCTGGGGAACAATCATGTCTGAATATGCCTACCTCCATACTACATATGATAGGTGAAAAACAGTATGTGAACAATGTAGTATGTCTTCTGTTGTATTACCATTGAGTCTGTAAATATTTTACATTTTGTTCTTTTTATTTCATTGTTTCATTTTATATAATAAACCATTTTGGGGCACAAAATCTGGGTCCCAAAGCAAAACTACTGACATAGTCTATTGACGTCAATGTTCAATCTATTTTAACTGTAATGGAGAACTTAAGTTTCCTAGTACTCCAATTAGTAATGGATTACAGTAAACAGCGTTAGGTCTTTGGGAATCATCCTTCTGACATCTTAACAAATGACTTTAGCTTGACGAGTGACACCACAGCGTATGCTCAGGTTTTCAGGTGTATTTTTGCCTCTTTATCTAATTCAATGCCAAACAATAGGGAAAAAAAGCAGCTAACAATGACACCTATCGGTTTCAGCTAGGAACATGCCAGCTATTAAAATGTTGCTCGAGGAGATGCTAAAGTTGGAGTAGAGGTGCATTGGCCAAACAACTTATCTGGCTTTCTCTTGAGAAATAAAGGAGCTAATGGGCCGGGCCGCTATCACCGTTTCCTTCCATCCAATCAAGCTTTTGTCCCTGAGGAATGGAATGCTCACCTACATATCAAGTTCACACACTGTAGCCACCGCAAGCTCGAATGGAAATAAACCGCAGAACAACCTTGACTGCATGTTTTCCCACTAGATTGTCGTGTTAATGGGAAAGTTCATGACTGTGAGGAATGTGGAAAGCTTTGAGTGGAATGAAAACCTGTGTGTGACAATACAAATAATTCAAAGTAAGCAAATGATCCATCTGATGAAGTATTTGCTGCATTTGGAGCAGAGTATGTGAGTGAAGTGTGTAATCACAATTGTAATTGCACCCGGTTACCGATCTACTGTAAAGTTCTTTCAAAACTTGTCTTTTTATATCAAGATATATATAAAGTAAAATAACGTTTGGGTAGTTTAGGTACTGTTGTGAAGATGATGTGTTAGTATGATGATATAATTGCTCATTGTTCCGAGCTGAGCATAAATAAAACACATATTCACTATAGAAATGTCTATGACTGTCTTTATGATTCTGTGAACTCCAATGACATTTTTCCAGGAAAGCACAATTTTAAAATTCCCTGATATTTCCAGTTTATCCATGACTGTGGGAAACCTGATACAGATCTGTGAGGAGAGAGTGACATGTTACTCATCATTAGATTTTATTTCCTTATACTATATGACAGAGCATCTCATCATTAATTTTCTTTGTTTTTATTTTTAAAATTAATACAAGTAAATCTGCAGTCATTCATCCTCTGTCATTCAATTTCATTTAACATTTGTATTTTTGATCATGTCTTCCACAAAATTAAATTTCACAAATTCCATATTTATTTCTTTTCGACTGGTAATGAATAGTCAATCAGCACTGTAAAACCTAAGGTGATTTGTGTTAACATGCAATTGTTTTATTTATTAATGTATGTAATGCTCAGAATGGAGCAGAAGCAGAGTTTCCTTTGAATATGAGAGAACATGTCATTCCTCATACTCATACACTACTATTCAAAAGTTAATATTTTAATGCAAGGATGCATTAAATTGGTTGGAAGTGACAGTCAAGACATTTATAATGTTACAAAAGATTTATATTTAAAAGAAAACTTTAAATTAATCAAAGAATTCTGAAAAAAAATCATGGTTTCCACAAAAAACATTAAGCAGCACAACAATTATTTTCAACACTGACAATACGAAATGTTTCTTGAGCACTAAATCAGCATATTAGAATGATTTCTGAAGGATCATGTGACACTGAAGACCAAATAATGGTCTCTTAAAATTCAGCTTTGCCATCCCAAATTATATTTAAATAGAAAACAGTTATTTTAAATTGTAATATTATAAAACAATATTTTCATTTGCATTTTTGATCAAATAAATGCAGCCTTGGTGCTGGTTGCTGAGGAAATACATCAACTTTGTGCTGTGGTTGCCGCAAGCCCGCTGGACGCTCCTTCGTCAAATCCGCCGGCCGCGCCGTTCTTAAGCCTGCCGGCCGCCGCTCACTCAAGCCCACGGTGTGTGCCGCTGTGTTTCGTTGTGAAAGCGAAACTACTTTGTTTGTTTTAACCTTAAACCGCATAAACACATTTCATTACACCAAATACACAAAATAATGTTCTTTTTAGCCACATCATATGACCCCTTTAAAGACTTCTATAAAAAAAAACATTTAAAAAAAACTTACAGTCCTCAAACTTTTGAACAGTAGTGTGCATTGATTTAAAGCATTGTGTTCTAATGTCTCTGGGCAACCATAAACAACAAAATGACAATTATGATTTGTGTGCAGTGTGCTATTGTGCCATTCCCTACGCTAATTCCAATCAAAAGCTCTTTCATAGCTGAACACCACACCTAGATCCAGCAGTGATCTCACTTTGACACAGCAAGAGCATCAAGCCAACCTTCCCCCGTTCCTCAGGTAGGCCTGGGCAGTGCGTAACTGATCTGCCTTTTCTGGAAATTCCTCTCCCAACAGACTGATACTTGACAGAAAGGCGATACAGCTCTATTCTATTTCATACAGAGCCAAGATAGGTACATATTTGGAGATGTTTCCTTTATTCTGAGTGACTGTGAGGAAAGCCTATTTACCTGCTGTTCCTGGAACTGGTGGTGCTGGGAAAGCGAAAGCGGGGACTCTTGCCCAGGCACATTTCGGATGCGGAGCGCGCCCTGCCTGTTCCGGTCCAGCGAGTGTGGGCGAGGCGGTCGGAGTTGGTTGCGCTGGTGCCACGATTTGAGTTCCTCCGACACCACCTGCCGTGGCAGGCCTCTGCTAGGATGGTGCGGATACTCTTTTAGCGAAGGAGCCCGTGACAATTTCACGTGGGCGGGTAACAACCTGCAATTTCGCTGCTGGGAAGCCAAAGCCTCACTGTAGCAGTACTCATAGTGACCATTAGACGAATAAACAGGCGAAGGGGCCTGGTGGCTTATGTACAACGATCTTCCGCTGTCCATTTCCAAGGGGTGACCCCATCTGTCCTCCACGTACCCCCTGGAAAAACTCGGTGAGGACTGGTACTGAGCGTTCTTGTAGAAGTGGGTAGGAGAGCATCTTTGTGGTATGTGGTAGTCATTGAAGCTGGTGTATTGGTATCCGTACTGGGGCTGGTAGGGCCACAGAAGTTCCCCAGTGTGCTCCTGGCAGGGAGAGCTGGTGTAGGACTGCACAGAGTGCTCCGAGTTGCTGTCCTCGGAACTAGAGTAGTACAAAGGGTTTCCTACATTTAGACTTATTGGAGAGTATTCTGATGGTGTCACCGCAAAGTCTGTCAACCGTCTCCTGGGGCCCCTTGAGCGCCCACGTTCCCGCTCGGGATCATAAGGGTTGGGATCAGTGTAGGGAACTCTGTTATAATGAGAAATTAATAGATTTGTCAACATTTGAGATGGTCATACAATATATAAAACACATGTGATCTGAACTGTACACTACCACTCAAATTTTTTAAATGAAATTAATATTTCTATATAGCAAGGGGGCATTAAATAGATCAAAAGTGACAGTAAAGACATTTATAATATTACAAATAACAATAAATGCTGTTCTGAACTTTTTAATCATCAAAGAATCCTGAGAAAGAAATGTATCACGGTTTACAGAAAAAATTAAGCAGCACAACTGTTTTCATCATATATGAATTTTCTTAAGCACCAAATCAGCATATCAGAATGATTTCTGATGGATCATGTGACCCTGAAGACAGGAGTAATGGCTGCTGAAAGTTCAGCTTTGCGGTCACAGGAATAAGCTACATTTTAAAATACATTAAAATGGTTTGAAAACAGTTTTTTAAAATTGTAATGATATTTCACAATATTACTCTTTTTATCGTATTTTTGATCATAATAATGCAGCATATTACATATGAAATATAAATGGGTTTTAATTATATAAAATATATATTTGTATAAAAAAAAAAACATTAAAAAAAAAATTTGGTTTATACCAACCGCAAACTTTGTGTGAGTTTGTGAGTAAGCTGAGATCAAACCTAAGGGACTGTATCCTGCGCAGGTGCATCTCTGGAGTGGAGGGTGCGCTGCAGGACTGTGTGTGTTTCAAAGCAGCATGGGTGGGTATCTGCAGTGGTATCCCGGCCTCCGCAAGACAGACCTCCAGAGGAGGCAACGTGGGGGTAACAGCAGGACTACTATGAGTTGAAAAACAAAAACACTTTTTTTTTTACACTTATGAAGGATTAACCGAAACATTACAGCTGTAGTTTTGCTATGACGTGCTCTACTGACAACAATACATGCGTTCCATGAATCAACTTTGAGATGTTTGGCTTAATAGCCATTACAGAATAGGAGGTGTGGTTATACCCACCCAAAAAATTACTATGTGATGTCTTGATGACCAGGTGAGTCAACTGCTTTTGAAAGGTCATAGATGACATGCATTTGAGATTTAATACTTGCTTTGCACTGTAGAAAATGTAAAGAATAAAAAAGCTATATGTACCTGGATTTGATGCTACTAGAGTGAGATTTTTTCTTTTTCTGATAGGGCTGGTCCAAACTACTCTCCATCCAGGGAGAGCTTTGAATGGGGGCAGGGTCATGCTCTAAGACTGGACTCTGGCATGTGTGCAAATCCTCCAGGGATTGTGGCGGGGTTTGACGAACAGTGGCCTCGAGGGGCCGGTAGGAGGGGACTATAGGTGTATGAGGAGGGGGATGAGAGTTGGTTAGAGGTGGAGGGTGAAAGTCTACAGCAGGAGGCTCTGAAGAAAGCTGGGAAGACAGTTCCTCTGAAACATGGATGAGAGAGATATTATTTAATTTAACAAGGGTTATTGACATGAATAATAACTTTATATATATATCTGTGACCTGGACCACAAAACCAGTCATAAGTAGCATGGGTATATTTGTAGCAATAACAAAAAATACATTGTATGGGTCAAAATTATATTTTTCTTTTTATGCCAAAAATTATTAGGATATGATGTAAAGATCATGTTCCATTAAAATATTTTGTAAATTTCCTACCGTAAATATATTAAAACTTAATTTTTGATTAGTAAAATGCATTGCTAAGGACAATGCACTAAGCAAAGCTTCTTAGAAAGCTTTAAAGGCAATTTTCTAAATATTTAGATTTTTTTGCACCCTCAGATTCCAGATTTTCAAATAGTTGTATCTCGGCCAA